TGGTCTGACCGCCGCGCCGCTCCTTCCAGTCTTGCGCGGCACGTACAAAGAGAGCACGGAAAGGTAGCCGATGAGCAGGCATACGCAAAACATGACCAAGGCATCAAAGGCGGTGTAGAGCGATTATTTCTGTTAGGGAACGACTATCCGCACCCAACACACCACGACGGACCTCGTCATTGCTCACCCGATGTTCCCACCAGACACGGGCAATGCTACGGAGACATCGGTGGTCGAATAATGAAAGTCGATTAGCATCCTCCGCTCAGGGAGGGCAAGTCTCGCAACCGTAAAGCAGAACACTTCGAACTGCGGTAATGTACACCCGTCCATTAAGGGACAGTCGGATACCATGGCGGGGCCACAAGTGTCGTAGGTTGGTGAAGGCTACTCTAGCTTTCGCTATTAGTGATATGATCTCGTCCCCAATACCACCACCAGCTGCAATCAAGCTCTCGAGGTATTTAAAGTTCTCAACTACTTCTAGCTGATCACCACAGGTGAGTGCAGGCACAGGCTCCTGCCAGTCTTGAACCAGCACTTTCCACCATACCTGGATACCTCGATCGCCAAGCGGTTCAAAGCGTTTTGGACTGCCTGTGTGTTGTCATCTAGCAAAGCGATATCATCCGCATATTCCAAGTCAAGAACTCTGTTCCCTGGGAGGAGTTCGACTTCACCGTTTGCTAGACCGGACAAAGCATTCTATAGAACATCCTCTATGACAAAGTCGAAAAGGAATGGGGATACACGGCAGCCTTGTCGAACTCCACTGGAGACTGCGAAGGGTGACGAAAGCTGGTTATAGGCCTTAACTCGACCTGAGGTATGACGATACAACTCTTGGAGGATCGACACATACTTCTCAGGTACTCCATTCCTCAACAGGCAGTTCCATAGTGCGACAGAGTCGAAGGCCGCGCGAATGTCTAAGAATACAATGATCGTTAGTCTTTGGTAGGCATGACGGTGCTCTAGCAGCTGTCGGAGAGCGAAGATTTGATTGATGCATCCACGACCGGCGCGAAATCCAGCCTGCAACTCACGCGTAGTGTACAATCGGCGGAGAATGACGGACGCCACAGCTTTGACGCTATTGGGATTAGGCTTATACCCCTATGATTGGTGCAATCAATGCGCGGGCCTTTTTCGAAGATGGGGACAACAATCGATTCCCCCCACGAGGAGGGGACTTGCTGTGTTCCATACTTTAGATAACAGAAAATGTTCTCTAACAAGCTTTACTCCACCATCTTTAAATCGAATAGGGGGAAGTTCACTGGAGTCCGGTGCTTTGTGACGTCCCAAGACTTTGATCTCCTTACGGATTTCCGCCTCAGAAGATGGATCCGTTGTGACAGATCATGGGACGTGTGCCGGAATAGCTGCGTGAGGAGCTGACGCGGGTTTAGTCCACCAGATCTCGCGGTCTCTGCGTAGGTTTACGTCGAGGTTACAACTCGTTGCTCGTCGTATTTCATCATGCTAGCTGCCGGTCGGGATTGATCGGCGTGCGTCAAGAAGCCGTAGAGATTCCGCAGAAATCCAGGGTGTCGCGGCACGACGTGTCAGGCCACAACTAACTAAGCCAGCAGAATGCAGGGCATTCTTGATGAGTGACTAGTGTTGGTTAACGTCATCGAGTGGGGTTGAGTCTAGCTTTTCAGCTAGCGCGTTCTGAAAGACAGTTAAGCGTGCTGGTTCAGACAACTGATCACGGTCTAACCATCGATGTGTCAAGCGTTTGGAACGCCCACCGAAGCACACGGACAGCTTGGCGCAAACTAACGCGTGGTCGGATTCAAGGGGAGAGCTCCAGTACGATCGGCAGTCTTGTATACAACCCCGCCATGTTCAGCTTATAGCGATGTGGTCGATCTGCGTCCGTCTCTGACTTGAGGAGGGCGGACGCCAAATGGCGTACCGGCAGTTGGAGCGTCTGAAGTTCGTGCTGGCGAGGAATAGGCGGTGGTTGGAACAAAGAGCCAACAGCCATTCCGCGTTTTTCCAGCCGCAGGAATCTAGTCCGAAAGGACAACCCAGATGTGCCTCACTCGAAGTTAGTCAGTCTACTCTAGCATTCATATTTCCTGCTAAAATATCAGCCCAACTTGCTTTACGTAAGAGGCCGTGTAGGTTATGATAAAATTCATCTTTGACTGCATCTGGACTGCAGTCCGTTAGGGTGTACGCCGACACAACAAACAGGCTTTGTCTATCGGGGCGACGGCTGTTAACGTTGCACGAACCTCTAAGTTTCACTGTGAACCACCTACTGTCGACTGGAAACCAGTCCAGGAGCTCGGCTTCAGCTCTCTCACTGAGACCCACACCAACGCCAGCAAGACCGGAAGCCGCAGCCTCAGGGTCCCCAGAGAGGCGTAAGTGAAACTTCACAGATGTGTTTGATGGGGACGTCAATCGAATAAGGGAGTCTTGAATGCGAGTTTATTGGATGCAACACACATCGATGGCTAGGGTTTCGAGCGTACGAGCTAACCACGTCTGTTGTCCTATACGCATCAGAGTACGCACATTTAAGGTGGCTAGTTTGAAAGGATGTCGAGGGCGGAGAAGGGCTTCAGCTGGTGGAGGATTCGGTTAGACTTGGACGGCAGTCGAGGTAGAACATGAGGGAACAGCGGCAGAGTTTCCATTTGAGGAACTAGTGTTTGGACGATCGTCTGAAGATCCCGAGAAAGTAGGTGGATGGGGGAGGGCTGGGGGGACATGAGTTGGTGTACGGTGTAGTGTTTGTTTCTGGTTGCAAAAATTGTAGACTGGATGCACATAGAAGTTCAAGAAATCATAGTTGCTGGCGTTGTGTGTTGTTGTACTACTCGGTCGCCCGGTCCAGAGTAGACTTAGGCTTGTGTT